GGCCTCTAGCCAGGGTCAAACCACCACACAAGGCAAAATATTGAGTAAGAAGGAACCACATTCCATACATCAACCAATTCTGCATTTACAGCAGTTGGGATATAATTACAAAAGCTCATTTTCCAGGAACAGTCTCAGTACTATTGCAGTTTGAGTAACCCCAGGGAAGACTGCAGGAGCAGATACATGAAAGCAGTTTTTTATCTTTTTTCTGGTGTATATGGATCAGTCTACGCAACATCAAACAGACCCATTCCCTCACCACTATCAACACTGACATGGAATCTCTGATTACCACTATGACATATCACCCAAGGTCTTCAGAATTTTAAAGTCAACATCTTGCTAGGGACATCCTGCATGCAACATCTTGGATGCCAGAGCCTCATTATTCAGTGCAGTGTTCAGCTCAGATGGGGCCCTACTGCTACTTCTGGATGCTCTCAAATTCTTGCTGGAGAGCTGAGGTGTTCAGCTGCCCTCAGTCACTAGAACCTTGACTAAGGAATACATCTAGACGAGACTTAATCTTTTACAGCAAATTTTTTTTATCTATTCACTCTTTTCCCCAGGGACAACCTAGCCAGTTTTTTATTAGTATGTTCTTAATTCAAAGTATTAGTATGTTCTTTAGTTATTCTTTATTAAGATGATCAGTTTCTTTCTTGAACATGTAAACAACGCTTTGTTAAGAGTTGTTGTCCTCTCTTCTGCTTCCAATTGCTGAGTAACAGCTTTTTGCCTTAATAAGGAGTAAGACACTTCCCTCTTCACTCATTTGCATATTTCAAGATGAAGTGTGAAAGAAAGTATAAGGTACCATGTAAGACAATCAATACAGTCAAGCATACACACCTAATACAGGACATCTAAATGCGGTAAGTGTATGTAGCTCATTACTCACTCGACTAAAATTAGACATGAAGGGATGACAAAAGGTTTAGAATGTCTCATCATCAGCCTCCTCTTCCCATGTATACTGTACAAATTATGTTGTTCCCTTCAATAACTCTTATTTCCCCTTCATTTCACCTTCTGAATTGCTTTTGTTAACTGAATATCTATTCCAGTTTTAGTGTCAAAGGATCTTTAGAGCTATACTCGAGGAAACAAAGCATCCAAATTTTCAGTTCTGATTTGTTTTCTTTTAAGAAGGCATTCTCAAAATTACCAGGCTAAAAATTTAACATCACCTGAAATGCGTGTTCCCTGAATCCCTAGCCTTCCATGTAAATAAAAATCCATTACATTAAAAATTTGTTCAATAGGGATGCTAATTAATTTTATCAAAGCTTTTTGAACTAATGAAAACAGGGAAATTCCTTTGAGTAATTCAAGCTAGTCAAAAACCAATACAGAACTAATAAAATTTGTGACTATTAACCACCACCTCATATATTAGTGCCATCACTGTTCCATACAGGATCACGTGCCCAAAACTATGTACATGTGCTAAAAGACAGAAAACCAAATAACTTATCCCACTTACCAGTTTTCATATCAAATGTCCACGCAGGAACAGCATCTCCCGATTTTACAGTACTTTTGGAAAGGGGAAGTGTAATCTGAATGGGACCATTTACTTTCAGTTCCTTCCCAGTCAAAAGAACATTTATGCATATTGCAGCAAGAGGAGTTAATTCCATGCTTTTGAAACCTAAATGTGAGAAATATCTTGTCTGTAATTCTCCATTCACAGTGTACTTCAAAAAAAAAAAATTTAGAATTAAGAATCTACCCTCATTATAACTAAAGACAAGCCCTCATTCACATCCAACTACGCAGTCAGCACTCACCAACTTGGTCAAATAATAATAAAAAAAAATAGTCAACATCTCTTCTGGACTGTTAAAACCTCGTGATTAAAAAAAAACCAGTAATTTCTATCCCAAATCTGTAGAAGAGAAACAGAATTTTGACATACAGGTTCAAAGCTGACTGTAAAATCAAGGATTAGGCAAAACTTGGCTTGAGGGTGGTGGAAGAAGGGTTTATCCCTCAGATAGTTTAATCACAAAATAGCCAACCTATATGAAATATAGATAATGTAAGAATTTTCGTATAATTGCAAAATACGTAACATTGAATCAAACTGAAGACGTATACAAATATACGACTGCTGCATTTCTCCTTAGTTGAACAGTCCTCTTAAACTTTCCTATAAGGATTAACTTTGTAATGTGGTAGCTATATTAACTGAATAGTCAATCATGATGCTCATCAAAGCCCTCTAAGGAAACACTGCATATACAAAGCTTTACAATGCAGCTCTAAAGTTTGTTTCCTTTGTTTTCCTTACACTAGTGTGCAAATACTTCAGAATGCACAATATGACACGATGGTGAAAGAAGATGAAAGAGAATTATTAAGTACCAGAATAACGTTAAATCTATAGAAGCTGTTAGAAGCTGGTTGTGAGAAAACTCCTGATGCATCAGATATCAATTAACTTCCACCTGCCCTGAAAGGAAGCCTATTCCTCTAGGAGTTTATGAATAATTTAAAACACATGCCAGACAGATTGAAAGGAAAACTTGAAGGGGAGAAATACTGCTTATTCTCTTATGCTTTACATTTCAAGAGGTGAAATATAGGTAAGAAAGGATTTAAAATATGTATGTCAAGATATAAATATATATAATGATTTTAATTCAATTAAAATTAAATAAGAGAGCATGACAAGTTTAAATAAGCTATATAGTGGCCTCCTCACGCGTTGCAATGAATTGAAGAGCCTCATGGCTTCAGGACCACTGGGAATAGAAAGAAAAGAACAAAAGAAAGATGGAACTGCATACAGTACAAGCTACCAGAGACTACTGCATTTATGCAAACAAAAAAAATATGATAGAATGACAAATGCTGAAAGGTCCAACTGCATATGAGCAGAGTTATAATGACTCATGAAACCATTTACTGCTTCTCAGTGAAACAGAAGCACAGAAAACATTATTACCATTGTGCTCTATATACATAGTGACTACTTGGTTTCAAACAGGCTTACAGATTAACTTTCTGTGAGCCAAGCTAGAGCTTCCACACAATTTTTATGCTAGGTGTAAAGCTCCTTCAGGCAACCATTCTAGTGAAAATGCAGAAAACCCCACAGCTGAAGTCAACTGCTGCCGTTTCTCTGATTTCTTAAGGTTCACCTAGTTCACACTCTGGTCATGACCATATTTTAGAGGTGTTTACTAAACCAATTCAACAGGCTCATGAAATCCTGAACATACTCAAATGAAAGCAATTTAAATGCTCACTTATTGTGTATTAGAGTCCCACAATTGTACTTCTGCACTGTGTAGAACAACATAAATACATATATATTTATTCATATGCACAAAGCCCCTATATGTACATAGGCTTACATAGATATACTCACTCATATATACAAAAAAGCAGACTGAAGGAGTATTTCAGTGTAGTAAGATATGCTATGTTCTCATACTGCACAGAACAAGATAAGGAGTGACACCAATTACTTACCTGATGTGTTTACAGCTTATTCCTATGGAACAAAGCTTTGTGATTTAATGCAAAGGAAGCAGGCTCAGGCCCTTTTAATTTAAGCATGTGTTTTTCTGAAACACTGTGCACTCAGATGCATTACAATCTGAAAATATCTTAAGAATTCTTAAAAAAAAAAGTATTTCCATACCTGATTTATTTAGAAGAATTCCTGTTGTATAGAGAAAGCTGTCCACTTTCAAAAACTGCTCTGGCACTGTCAGATAGGCTGTAACATTTGTAATATGGTGATTTGTTGGAAGCTTTAATAAAAGTTTTGGAAACTGAACACTTGGTTGAGATTTGGCATCTGTGAAAGAGTGATATTTTGTCTTAGCAATGGTAAAACACACAAACTCTTTTTATTACTGCTCAGAAATCCATTTAGCAAAACAACCTGTTTTCACCCACTTTCTCCACAGTTTCTAGTCTAGCACATGTCACAGCCACACATATAGCTAGCTACACAATTAACTGAAAATCTGACTTTGAGTACATAGGTATTTTATGAGAATATGAACATGCTTAATTTTTTTTTTTTTCTGTGTGCACAGATGGTTATCACAAAGTGTTTAGATTATAGTCTGCACACACTGAACTTACCAGACAGTTTTCCAGTAATTAAGACAGTATCTTCAAACAGCCACATATTAGCTTGACTTTGTGGGAATAATGAAAGCGTCACAGATGAGTATACTGTGAAAAGTTATAATATCTGTTACACTGTGCATCAAAAAAACATCCTGCAAGATCTCAGATTCTGAAAGAATAGCGAACAGAGCAGTTAAAAAAAAGATATTATATGAAGACTCAGTAAAATTATTCCTGTTGTCCAAAGCAGGAATTTTAGTGGTTATGCAGGAAGACCTCTGTTCTGTATTTGCTACTGTTGTTCTATGGATAAACAAGTGGTTAGAATTCTTAAGAGTCCGTCTCTTTCAAAAAAGACAAAAAAAATAAAAACCTTTTTTAAAAGCACGCAATAGTTAAACAGGAAAACTTGTGAGGAAACACTGCTGAAAGGAAGCTGTAACAACAGGTTATACTTGTTATACAGGACTCAAAGCATTGTCACTCCAGGAATCACTAAAGACATAATTTTTGTCAAAACATATTACCAGCCCTTTGCTAAGTGTTGCTAAATAATTTCTCAGAATACACTTACATTATAACAATATAACCTACTTAGAGTTAAAAAGGGCTATTTTCTGTTTTACAATATTAAGAATTTTGACAAGTCTAACAGACCATTCACCCTTGTATCTGCATTGACAGGCACCACCGCCCTGGCCTGGCTTCTTTCAGTCATTTTCAGTTGACAGTAACTACCCAGACTGCTGAGGAAGAGAGAAATTTAATTACCAACAGATACAGTTTAATAATAGCACTATAAGAGGCTTACATACTTGGCATCCTCCCAATCTTCCAAGGCAAAGGTGTTAACATGTAGCCATCCTTGTATGATACAATAGTTAAACTTAATCCTAGTTTGTAGGGAACTTTTATTAATACTGCTCCATTGTTTCCAGTAAGAGTAGAATTTGTCTTTGTGTAGTTAATAAACACTTCCACAACCGCTTGTTGCAGGTACTGATGACTGACGATGTCGTTTACTTGAACTTTTAGCATAAAAACAGATCCTATTAAGAGAGAGAAAACAACAGGGGATCATAATACAGCATAGCAAAGGACTAAAAAAAAAAAAAAAAAAAAAAAATAGTTGTTTAACTAACTTAAATTTGTAAAGAAGCCCTAGAATTTACACCTTAGTTACTCATCCACTGTACAGTGGATCTCTTATCTCAACAGAGGGCAAGCTCTGGCCGAAGGAAGGGGTAATCATGTAATTATATACCACAGAAAAGAAGGAAGAAAAAACCTTGAGATGGGACACAAAGATGCCAAAAGAAAATATAATACCGAACCTGTCAAAATAAAACACAAACAAAACTAAAATTGCAAAGCAATTCTTTCCCTTTTCAATTAACATTGAACCATGTATCTGTGACAATGTAAGACTCGAAGTGCTCTTGTTATCCAAGTGTAACCCTTGGCTTGGGTCACACATTCAAAGACACACCTTGAGTTTCTAAAAACAGAGAACCTAACGTCTGCACACTGTGGGATAACACATTTATTTTTACATGAGTAAAGTTATTATAAAGTAACCAAATGCATCCAGACACTTTGATTCAATCTATCATCTCCCACCAGATTTACACTTCTAGCCTAGTTTTCACCTTTCTGTATTGCAACTTCTAAACAGTATTTGTCTACTGCTAATTAGAGGATCTCACACTCCTTGACGGTACATGGTGTCTTGCAGAGATCATAATTACAGCGACTGAGCAGTATGTTGAAAATAGTAAGTCCGCTTGAACAACAGTCTCAAGATGCTCTGAAATACATTAAATTCTCTTGACTGTAAATAATTAGGGAATCTTTTCATAGACAGTAGACACACAAAAATGGGCAGAATTCCATGTTATTTCCAGTGTGAAATTAAATTATTATCACAAATTAAAGTACCTATGGACCAAAAGATGTCAAATAACATCAAATTTCCAGTATTTTGGTTACAGACATACTGCTATTCAACATCAATGCACTACTTTATACCCCAATATTTTCAAACACATTAATTATGAATATGCATTTCTATTTAAGTCAAATGTCAGGCTAAGTTTGTTTGAAATTTTTCTACATAAAATCACAGTTCAATTTCATTATGTTATCTCCTCTATAACTGAGATTGACGTTGCACTAGGAGATTACCACCACTGACCTGGATTTAAATGAAAAGGTCTTAAGAAGCTGAGTGCAAGCCATCAAAAAAACAGTACGTAGTGAAGACATTCAAGCTAAGCCTCTCTGAAATATTTATTTAGATCTATTGCATCCATGGAATTTACCATATATTCAAGCAAAAAACTACCTGCACATAACAAAGCTAAATTGGCCTCAATTTATTTCTATTTATTGCACACACAGCAAAAACTTACTAGCCATGCCAGTCTGATTCTCTCGTGTTAGAGAAAAATCTACATCTCCTTGTGCAGATTAATATATATTTTCAAAAAAGGAAAAAAAAATTCCCAGTGATACTTGAATATATTTGACTGAATTAAACAGAAAATGCACAATTATCTTAGAACAGTGTCATCTGTTTTTTTTCTCCTTATGCATGATAATTCAAGAATAAAGTTGTTTTTAAATTGCTGTTGCTAGAGTGTTTTTAAATTATGTGGTGATTAAAAAAAAATTTATATCATGTAAGCAAATTATGGCTACTGAACAGATCTTCCAGGCCTTGATCCAGTTACACATACATTAGCATTATTCCAGTGATTTACAAAACTTGTAAAACAGATTATTTGCCCTTAGCCAATGCCTATTTAAAAGGCTACTAAATAGGGAGAACAGACTGTGTACAATATTCTGATCCTGTAATTGCTTGGAAGCCAGGAATATCTTGTGAAAGGGTATTTAAAAAAACAGAAATTCAATAGTACAAAATTCAAGCTCATGCCAGTAGGAACCAATACCAGAAATGCCTGATAAAAAATAGTATTCTAACAGCTGGACACAAGTCAGGAAAAAAGAGCCTAGTATTAATAGCTGAAATAAGTCATTAAAAAAAATTAAAACCTAGAATGTACTCAGAAAGACATTTTCTTTCAATTATTTCACGTTTTTAATGTGTATTTTTCCATTTCCTGCTAACGAAAAGCCTAATGAAAACACAGGGGTGGGGGAATCGCTACATTCCTCCTCCAGCTGTTAATAAATTCAAAGGGTTTTTTTGCAAAAACATTTCTTCCTCTCCTTCAGTTACAGCCTTATTAAAACCCACTTTTTTAGAAGCTTTTGGATGAGGAAAAAAAAAATAGACTGTGAAAATGTAGAAAGAATTGTGAAGAATGTGA